TACAATAGAAACTACAAAACACTACTGAAAGAAACCAAGAGACCTGCATAAGTGGAAAAACATACCTTGCTCATGGATAGGAAGACTCAACACTGTGAAAATGTCAGTTCTACCCAAAGTGATCTACAGATACAATGCAATCCCGATCCAAATTCCACCGACATTTTTTAATGAGATGGAGAAACAAATCACCAACTTCATATGGACAGGGAAGAGGCCCCGAATAAGTAAAGCATTAATCAACAAGAAGAACAAAGTGGGAGGCCTCACACTACCTGATTTTAGAACCTATTATACCGCATGGTAGTCAAAACAGCCTGGTACTGGTACAACAACAGATACGTAGACCAATGGAACAGCATTGAGAATCCAGACATGAATTGATCCACCTAAGAGCAGCTGATATTTGACAAAGGCCCAAAGTCCATCAACGGGGGAAAAGACAGTCTCTTTAACAAATGGTGCTGGCATAACTGGATATACATCTGCAAAAAACTGAAACAAGACCCATACCTCACAACATGCACAAAAACTAACTCAACATGGATCAAAGATTTAAATATAAGATCCAAAATGATAAAGTTCATGGAAGAAAAAATAGGGACAATGCTAGGAGCCCTAATACATGGCACAAACACAATACGAACCATAAGTAATGATGCATAAGCACTAGAAGAGAGACCAGATAATTCAGAGCTTATAAAATCAAATACTTACGGGCATCAAAAGACTTCACCAAAAGAGTAAAAAGACAACCTACAGATTGGGAAAAAATTTTTGGCTACAACATATCAGATCAGCATCTAATCTCTGAGATCTATAAGATACTGGAATACCTCAACAATAAAAAGACAAATAACCCAATTGAAAAATGGGCAAAGGATATGAACAGGCACTTCGCCAAAGAAGATATTCAGGCAGCTATCAGACACATTAAGAAATGCTCACGATCATCAGCCATTAGAGAAATGCAGATCAAAACTACAATGAGATATCATCTCACCCCAACGAGGCTAGGATTAATCCAAAAAACACAAAATAATAAATGCTGGAGAGGTTGTGGAGAGATTGAACACTTATACACTGTTGGTGGGAATGTAAAATGGTACAACCACTTTGGAAATTGATTTGGCACTTCCTAAAAAAGCTAGAAATAGAAGTACCATACGATCCAGCTATCCCACTCCTTGGAATATATCCTAGAGAAACAAGAGCCATGACACGAATAAATATATGCACACCCATGTTCACTGCAGCACTGTTCACAATAGCAAAAAGATGGAAGCAACCTAGGTGCCCATCAACGGACGAATGGATAAACAAATTATGGTATATCCACACAATGGAATATTACGCAATGATGAAGAACAACGATGAAGCTGTGAAAGATCATATAACATGGTGAAAGCTGGAAGTTATTATGCTGAGTGAATTCAGTCAGTCACAGAAGGACAAATACTGTATAAGACCACTATTATAAGAACTCAAGAAAAGGTTTAAACACAGAAGACAACATTCTTTGATGGTTACGGGAGTGGGCAGGGAGGGTGAGGGTTATTCACCTACTAGACAGTAGATAAGAATCATCTTGGGTGAAGGGAAGGACAGCACACACTACAGGGGAAGTCAGCACAACTGGACTAAACCAAATCTAAGAATACTTTGAGAGACAGAGTAGCAGGGATAGGGGGTCTGGGGACCATGCTTTCAGGGGACATCTAGGTCAACTGGCATAACAAAGCTTATCAAGAAAATGTTCTGCATCCTACTTTGTGAGTATCGTCTGGGGTCTTAAAAGCTTGCAAGTGGCCATGTAAGATGCATCAATTGGTCCCAACCACCTGGAGTAAAGGAGAATGAAGAACACCAAAGATATAAGGAAAGTATTAGCCCAAGAGACAGAAAGGGCCACATAAACCAGAGACTTCATCAGCCTGAGACCAAAAGAACCAGATGGTTCCCGGCTACCACCAATGACCGCCCTGACAGGGAACACAACAGAGTCCCTGATGGAGCAAGAGAAAGATGGGGTGCAGAACTCCGACTGTAGTAAAAAGACCAGACTTAATGAGACTGGAGGAACCCCAGAAAGCATGGCCCCTGGATTTTCAGCCCAGAAGTAAAACATATTCCGAGGCCACATTTTCAGACAGGGACTGGACTGGTCTGTGGGACACAGTGATACTCGTGAGGAGTGTGCCTCTTAGCTCAAGTAGACACAAGAGACTAATCGGGCAGCTTCTGTCCTGAGGTGAGATGGGAGAGCAAAGAGGGTTAGGAGCTGGCTGAATGGACATTGGTAATCAGGGGTGGAAAGGAGGAGTGTGCTTCCACGGTATGGGGAGAGCAATTAGTGTCACAACAATGTATGTATAAATTTTTGTATGGGAAACTAACTTGAAATGTAAACTTTATCTAAACAACAACAATAAAAATAATAAATTTTAATATTTTCCTGATCTCCCTCCAGGCTCCTGTTATGCAAACTGTGCTATGTTCACAATGAGTGCCCAGTAAATATTATTTGAGGATTATCTTATTGTTATTAGTATTGTCTTCTGTTTCAGTACACCAGCTAAGGGTGGAGTTCAGTTTGAAATGTTTACTGCACAGAACAACAGATAACCAACAAATCCATAATGGAATCTAAGTAGATTCCCTCTTCTAGTTAGCTGTGGGCTTATAAGCTTCTAGTGGCGTAGTCACCGAAACTTGAAAAGGTGGTTAGACAGTTGTTTTGCCTTCTCTCTGACTGATTTACCGACAAGGTCGAAGTGATCTGAGGAAACTGCTGCTGCTAGGATCCTGCCAATCATACCTCCCATAGCTAATAGAAAGCCCTGGCTAAGGCAGAAGACTTGGATTAAAATTCTGGCTTCTCCACTAACTGAGAAATCTTATGAAACTCAGTTTCCATTTATTCAGTAAATTTTAATGAACTCCAACTATGTGCCAGGCACTGTGCTTGGGGATGAAAATACAGTAGTCAACAAGACAAAGTATTTCTACTTTATGGAATTTATATTCCAGCGATAGGGTGTGTGTGGGGGTTGTGGTGGGGGAGACCTATACCACGACCTACAGGCTGAGTTTCTCCATTTCTAAAATGGTGGGATGGAGTCCATGGGTGGTGCATTCTGTTAACAAGCCCAGCTGCTAACTGAAAGGTTGGAAGTTCAAGTTTTCCCAGAGGCACCTGGTAGGAAAGACCTGGCTATCCAGTTAGGAAGGTTAAGAAAAATACACACTGAAATAAGGTTTTAATTCTCCTTTTTGAATATAAATGAAGAGGCTCCCCTCCTCCCTGTTCTTTCAGAATTTACTTTAGATAAACTGTAATTGTAAATTTTTTCTTTGTCTGTTTGTAAAGTATGTAAATCCAAGATGTCTCCTCAATGATCTGGCAGCTGCCTCTTTGAATTATAACTGCAGGTGATCCTCCCCTATCATCCAGTTCCCTGGAAGGAGATTAGCATTACCTCAGGTGGCCCAGCCCCAAACTGCAAATCTATGCCCTGCCATAAAGATACTAGAAAATTAACAAAATTATCTTGAAAACATATATGCAATGGATTCCTTTCTGTCTTTGCGGATTGCCTGTGATGCATCATATTCTGGTGTAATGCTTATTCAATAATAAAACTTTTCTTTTTCTTCTAATTTTGTGGAGAGGTTTTCTGGGCTAGGAGTAGATATTATTTTTCAGTAACTTTTACCCAACATGAAATATCAGCCATTAAAAACGCTGTGGAGTAAGTTCTACTCTGACACACATGAGGTCGCCATGAATTGGAGTGGACACCACTGAGATTTTTTTTTTTTTAAACGGTGGGATAATCACTAGATCCAATTTGAACTTTTTAGATCTTGCTTATTTAGTATTTGATCAAAGCTCTGATCATATGAATATTCTTTTACAAAGAGGGCACCACCAACATAGTTCAGTAAAAATGTTTTCAATATCCTGCTCCCACTTCAGGATGCAATTCACGACCCACTCTACCCTGTCTCTGACCTATGAGTGCGACTGCACACATTTTAAAAATGTATTCAGAAAGGCTGTTTGAAAGGCTTCCTTTCGCCCAAGGCACGCGCTAGTTGACTGGCAAGAGTTAGTCGTGCAGCAAAGTCAGTTTCGGTTCAGCAGGGCAGAAAGATCCTAGGCGAGCGGGGAAAGCCAAGCAACCGTAGCATTTTAATCCAAGAAACCGGATCAAACAGACGACAGTGGTGAATGCAAGCACGAATGATGGCCTAGGAACCTGCAGGGGACATAAAGGTTTAAGACAGCTTTCGTCCTCCATACCTAGTTCGGAAGCTTCTCCGAAAAGCAAGCTTTCGAAGCATTCTAGCTTGCCTCAGACAGCGCCTATCCCGCCACAGGCCGCCGAGACCGGTACAGCGCGGAAACCTGTGCCTGAGGTGAGGGAAGCGTTCTGCAGAAGTCCTGCGGGCTGCCACCAGGAGTCCCACGAAGGAGCAGACCATTAAGCCTCATCGGTTTCGGGCCTGGGGCCCTGCGCGCGCCCGCCACTCCGCCCGCCAGAGCGCCGCGAGCTTCGCGGGCCCCGCCCATGACGTACGCCGAGCGGCGGGCGGCCGAGAGCAGGAGGGGGCGGGGCGAACCATCGCGAGTGAATGGGGCGCAGCGACCATCCGCACATTCCAGTGGGCCCACGTGACCCGGCCGCGCGGTCTGAGGTAAACAAGCCGTGGCCCCGCCCCCGGACCCGTCCGCGCGCCCTGCACTGCTTTTAGTTGGCGGGACTCGCTCTAGTCGGGCGGGCGGCTTCCTCCGACAGTCTCCAGCGCCCGCCGCAGGCCAGAGCAAGGGGAGCGGGCACTGTGCCCCGGGTCTGCGGGCTGAGTGCGCCGGCAGGGGTCGAGCGCGCGTCGTCTCCCCGCCCCCACCGCACGCTGTGGCGCAGCAGGAATTTGGCGTGGAGCTGGGCGCTATTTGCGGTTCTTGACGCTCTGCAGGAGGCTGCTGGTGGCCCTTCGGTCATTTCTATTCTAGGGGCACTGGGTCATAGCTCTTGGCCGGCAGCGGCCGGCCCCCTCCCCCAAGCCCGTAGGGTGTGTCCCCCACACGGGGGCTCGCCGCGCCTATAAGGGGGTTGAGCGGCGGGCAGGGACATGCAGCTCTACAGCAGCGTCTGCACCCACTACCCAGCCGGGGGACCGGGTCCCACGGCCGCAGCACCCGCTGCACCCGCCGCCGCCGCACCCTTCAAGGTCTCCCTGCAGCCTTCAGGATCCGCCAGCAGCGCGCCTGAACCCGATACCGGTGAGTGCCAGCCCGCCGCGGCCGCTGAGCCCACGGAAGCTTCCTCCGCCGCCAAGATGCCCGCCTTCTCCTCCTGCTTCGAGATGGTGTCCGGGGCCGCCGCCCCCGCTTCGGCCGTCGTCGCCAGCCCGGCCATCGGGTCCTGCAAGCCGCCACTGCCGCCGCACTACACGTCTACGGCGCAGATCACCGTGCGGGCCCTCGGCGCCGACAGGCTGCTTCTGCACGGGCCCGAGCCCGGCGCCACGGCGCCCACCGCCGCGCAGCGCGGCCGCTGCCTTCTACTGGCCCCGACGCCCGGCGCCCCGGTCCCGCCGCGGCGGGGTTCTTCCGCCTGGCTGCTGGGGGAGCTCCTGAGGCCCGACGGCCCCGAGCCTGCAGGCCTGGAGGCGGCCCGGCACGGGCCGGAGAGAAACTTCCGACTGAGCGAGCACCGCCAGGCCCTGGCCGCCGCCAAGCACCGAGGCCCCGGGCCGCCCCCGGGGAGCTCGGAGCCTAGCCCCGGCTCGTGGAGCGAGGACCACTCGGCAGAGAGGAGCCCCCGGGGCTGGGAGAGGGGTGGCGACCCTGCAGGCGCAGACGAGGCGCGGCGGCTCGATCTGGAGGCCGAGGCGCCCCCCACGAGGAGTGGCGAGGCCGCCTCGAGAAGCGCGGCGGAGTCGGGGATCGTCTCCAGGTCGGATCCCAGAGACGAGAAACTGGCCCTGTACCTGGCGGAGGTGGAGAAGCAGGACAAGTACCTGAGACAGAGGAATAAGTACCGATTTCACATCATTCCCGACGGCAATTGCCTCTACCGAGCGGTCAGCAAGACGGTGTACGGAAACCAGAGCCTCCACCGAGAGCTGAGGGAACAGACGGTGCACTACATCGCTGATCATCTCGACCACTTTAGCCCCCTGATCGAGGGGGACGTGGGGGAGTTTATCATCGCTGCTGCTCAAGATGGGGCATGGGCCGGGTACCCTGAATTGCTGGCGATGGGGCAGATGCTGAATGTGAATATACATTTAACTACAGGAGGGAGATTGGAGAGTCCCACCGTGTCTACCATGATCCACTATTTGGGCCCTGAGGATTCCCTTAGGCCTAGTATTTGGCTCAGTTGGCTCAGTAATGGACACTATGATGCGGTATTTGATCACTCATACCCTAACCCGGAGTATGACAGTTGGTGCAAACAAACTCAAGTGCAAAGAAAACGCGATGAAGAGCTTGCCAAATCCATGGCAATATCCCTATCCAAAATGTATATTGAACAAAATGCATGCTCTTGAAATGTTTGGAGACCAACACCCTGGGGAAAATTACATAAATAACTTCTGATTGGAGAATTACACGAACTGAAATCAGGGTAATAGCACTTTTGAACTTCCTAGTAAATTTACTGTAGATGTAATGCCTTAATCTTTGGTTTTTTAAATGTTTTCTCCCCAGAGCTGAAGGTTGCTGGGCACCTAAATGATGTTTTATGAAAGCTTTGGGTAATTCTACTGCTATTTATAATTTGCTGTATAAAGTTAGCACTACTTGATTTGCAAGCTGATGTTTCACAGTGTAAATTTGTTCATTCCTGGCAGTCTGTTTTCTATAAAAACGTATTTTTGCACATTTTTAAAAATTGGTGTACCTTCATCTGTGATGTGTTCCATTTTGACAAACGGCTTTCAGGCATAATTCCAGAGAAGTGCTTTATATGAAGTTTATCATTTTGAACAGAGTTTGTGATTTAATAGTTTATGTTGTGGAACTTTGGCTTTTACAATTCTTAGATGATTATTTTAAATGGATGTTGATGCATTTGTGTTACCAAATTATTGGCCCATTCCAATTTGATTAAACAGAAACAGATTTGTTGTTTTGGAAATCTTTATTTTTCTAGAAATAGTCAATCTTTTAAAGAGAAATATTTAAGGGAAGGTTGTGAGGAGAGTTGTTTTTTTTTAAAGGGGTAGTACCAGCGGTTAGAATGAAAGTCCCATATTTGCAGGTGGCAGACAGAGTGATTATTCTGTACTCTGCTTAATGTTTAGAGTAGATTGTCTGGTGCTCTCAATTGTTTATATTTGTCGTTTTGTTATAAAAGGATTTTAATACAGTGTAAAACTTTGTGACAAGATAAGCCTCCTGTTTTAAATAGCTACTTGGATTCATCCAAGATATTTAAAAACTAGTAGCATAAATGGCCTCCAACTTTGGAAGTTATTTTATAGCAGGAGAATATTGTCTTAATACTCTCAAAAGGCAAAATAGGATTGCCTTGTATTATGTAAAAATGTCTGTAAGCAGAGCTTGTATGGTTTGCTGGGTCAAACAATGTTACCAACTTGAAATCTATCTCATTTCCACTTTAACTACTTTTAGTCATATTTATTAAGTAATGCAGTTTGTACTTTTTTATTTTGTAACATTTTGTGATTTTTGTACAATTCTGTATTTGTACAGTAGAGCAATTCTCAGCTGATGGAGTGAATGAATAAAATGCATAATTTTACTTTTGAATGCCTTTTTGGATAAAGTGATTTTAAAATTATACGACTTCTGTAAGAATCTTTCTTACATGCACACTTTTTTTTTTTAATGTATAAAAATGCCACAGAATAATGAGAGTTTTTCTAAAGTTTCACATGAACAGGATTGGATAATCATTACTAATTTCAAAAGGATAAGTCTTATAGTGAAATATACTTTAAAGATGGAGTAACTCAAGAAATTGTTCTCATTATTTCTAATCTAATGCCTATCTAAAATTATAGATGCACCTATTGGCTAATGAACAGGGAAGTGCAAGTATTGTGTTAACTAGCACAATGTCTGATTAAATGTCACAGTTTTGTGTTCCACTCACTCTCAGCAAAGATGTAATGTTTTAAAGAGTAACTAAAAGCAGTGTCCTGATTTTTGCCTAGTTTGGTCTCTTGGGACCATATGAATATTAATTTTGAGATGTGTTAGGTATAGTTGAAAACATGCACATGTGTACGTAATGTTGGGTGTGTCTTTTGTTGTAACAATAAAAACAGCTACTTTGGAATTTTTACTTCTGAGTTGGTTATAGACACACCTCAGCTTGAGTTCGTTGCTTAACTACATCTTTGGAAAAATGGCATTGGTTATCAAGGAAAGACACTTTTCAAAGGTTTAAATGTTAACTAGTCATGGATCTGTTTTGTTTAAGGGAAGATAGGTTTTGCATCATGACTTTACTAATTCAGGTAATTTGGGGAGAAAAATACATTTATTTGAATTATCTGACTACTAAATATGGTTATCTTTCTCACTTTATTTAGAGCTCTAACATTTGGAGATTCTTAAAATTTGTGCACAAAATGAAAGAATAGATGTATTAGGTGTAAGTTCTTCAAAAATATTAATAATTCTGTGAGCCTGTTACTGTTTTAAGTGGGTTCCATTGTGTTGCTCTGTTTGATTTTCAAATGAAAATGCCAAGTCCTTGATTTAGATTTCTTCCAAGGAGTTACTTGTAAGATATGAGTAAAAGGGTTTTAACTAAAGTGTGATTTTTTTAAATTATTTTTGTTGTTGAAAATGTACACAGCAGAACATATACCAATTCAGTTTCTACATGTACAGTTCATTGACGTTGATTACATTCTTCCAGTTGTGCAACCATTCTCAACATCATTTTCCAAGTTCCTCCCCCATTCTGCCATTAACATAAATTCACTACCCCCTAAGCTTCCTAACGTTCCTAGTTTCTGTTGTTGATATGATCTCATTAGAAAGTTCTTTAAAAGAGCACAATGCTCAAGACAGATATTGTTTACTAATTAAGCTAAGCTATTGTTTGGTTTAATGAAGATTTCAGGGGATATTTTTGGTTTAAGATCCATAAGGTTTTTTATTTTTATTGTGTTATAGGTGGAATTTTACACAGCAAATTAGGTTCTCATTTAATAATTATATACAAATTGTTCTATGACATTGGTTACAATTTTCATAATATGTCAGCATTCTCACTATTTCCATTCTGTTTATTCTGTTTCCAATGATGTAGCTTCCCTGCCCCTCCTTGCTTCTCATCTTTGCTTTTGGGTAAATGTTGACCATTTGGTCTCATATAGTTAATTGTTTAAGGGAGCACATTACTCACAGGTGTTATTGTTTATTTTATAAGCCAATCTATTTAATTTGGCTGAAAGGTGGCTTCCAGGAGCAGCTTCAGTGCTAGGTTAAAATGGTATCTTAGGGCGACAGTCTCGGGTTTCTCTAGTCTCTATCGGTCTTAGCAGGTCTGGCCTTTCTTAGGAATTTGAGTTTTGTTTTACGTTTTTCTCCCATTCTATCCGAGACCTTCTATTATGACCCTGGTCAAAACGGTTGGTAGTGGTTGCTGGGCACCATCTAGTTCTTCTGGTCTCATGTTAGAAGAAGCTGTGTTTTGTGTGGGATATTAGTTCTGTGGACTAGTTTCTTTTTTGAGTGTTTGGCTTCCTTCTCTTTTGTTCCAGATGAGTAGAGATCAGTAGTCATATCTTAGATGGCTGCCCGCAAGCTTTTAAGATCCCAGACACTACTCAAGAAACTAGGGTGTAGAACATTAGGAACTGTTCATGCCAGTTGATTAGTTGTCCCATGAGATTATGGTCCTAATAAACCTTTAAACCAATCCTCTGAGTTGTTTGGAAATATCTAGGAAGTCTCTGTAACTGTGTTCCCTGTGTGCTTTATTATATATATGGGTATATACGCAGCACACACAAACATGTATATACATATGCCTAACAGATAAACACACATGCATGTGCATGTACTCGCATATGCCTTCCTATACACATACATGCATACACATCTACCTATGTAACCAGACACGCATGTTTTGGTTGTTATTACTGTTCAAAGTGTGATGTTTTTAAATAAAAATAAATGGATCCTAAAATCCTGCTATATGGCAGCATGTTTTTAGCTGTCTGGCCTAGGTCAGTATATGTCTTTCGGGTACTCTTTCTATGGCTTGGTTTTTGAAGAGGAAACATAGGATTCGGCACTCTCTTATGCCCACTATTTATTCTCTAGTGACATACCAGTTTTGTTTGTTAGCAGTAGCAGTCCTGGATCACTGAAGATTGAGCAGTTAGAAAGGTGGACCTCTGGTTAACTCTTACTTACTTTTAGCAAACATTTATTAAACAGTTAATTCCTTCATTTACTCTTACAAAGCAGCTAAGAGGCTTAAAACTATGAAGGGAACAGTTGATGGTCTGAGCTAAAGATCTTTAGAGTTTACTCTTCCCCATAAAATAGGAGGTAGGATAACATAAATCCAACTGTGGTGTTTTCAGGCAAATTAGTATGAAAGTCATACTATAAATTTAAATTTTATTAAAGTAGCACATAAAAACTATGATACAAATAGCTATTAGTGTGGTTTTTTAATCAGTTGCATTTAAAAACTAAAATGGCCTAGTATTTTAATATTTTGGCAAAAACCTAATTCCTGAACCTTCTTTGTTCATTTTCCGCTCAATTTTTTTTAAGACATTATAGTATGTTTAATTGGACTGAATGTTAAATCATTCCTGATCAATGGCAAAAGGATGTGCACATGTGATACATTAATTACATTTTTTCTAAGCTTGTGGTCTTATGCCAAATGGGGTAGAATTTTCATCAGATACCATGTCTTTTCTCAGAAACCACATTTTATAGAGAGAAAGAAATGCCTTAGGTCCCTTGAACATCAGGATTGGTTAGTCTCAACTTATGTAAATATTTTTTCAAAAGGATCTTGAGATAGTGTCACTACTTTATTTAAAACTTACGTGTTTTTCCTTATTTCCTAAAAGATTAGTAAGTGCAACTTGAAAATCTTACCATGGTGTCCAATGTGCTAATATAGAGGAAGGGCATTAGCCGAGAAACATAGGTTTTAAACTTTCAGGACATCTGATAACATGATATATAGGTATGTGCACCGGATAAATTTTTAAATGTATACTTAAAATATGAAACGTGTTCACATTTGACAGCTATTTGTCACATGAAATCGTAAGTCTAGACCTTAATTTTGTTTTTTTACATCCCTAGGTTGTCAGTGGGTGGCGCAAGTGGCTTGTAATAGACTGCTAACCTAAAAGTTGGTGGTTCAAACCGACCCACCGGCACCGTGGAAGAAAGGCCTACTGATCAGCTTTCAAAAAAATCACAGCCAAGAAGACCCTATGGAGCAGTTCCCGTAACACATGGGGTTGCCATGAGTCTCAATAGACTCGATGTCAACAGGGCAACAGGTTTCATATTTTTTTGTTTTATTACAGTGTCAGTCACTATTCTCAAAGAGGCACTGAGAAACTAGATGGCATTTAATTCAGTTTCATTCCCCAAATCTACTAAGTTCAACAGCCATGGACTATGTCATGTTGCCTATTGAATACCTGGGTTCCAGTGCAGTACCTAGCAGAGTAGGTGCTCAGTAAATATATTTATTGAATGGAGAAATGAATTGGAGGGAAATGTGAGTTTTAGGAAATATTTGGTTGGTGGATATGAAATTAACAATGATTTGACTCAAAGTACTGGGAGTTATCACTGATAAAGTAATTCTGAGCATTTTAAAGAGAAATAGGGTTATAAGAAGATGTTAAAAGTATTGAATTCTATAGTGGACAAAATAGTTTTTGAAACCAAAAATGAGGATTTATTGATTTTATCTTTGTGTCATCTTTCAAACCTTGAGAAACTGAACAAAGAGAAATTACTTCAAAATAGAACTTCCATTCATCTGAAGTGATTTAGAAGGTGTTGCCTTGTCCACCAGAGGTGTTGCTCTGGCTTATGTTTAGGAGTTACACCTCTCCCAAGTCCAGTCTATAGCAATTCCTAGTTTAGCTATATTTTCTTTCTGTAGTCATTTGAAAAGGAAATGTTGGGCAGATTTCAAGCATACTTCGGACTGCTGTGTCTAGTAGCTACTGACTGCATGCTTATTCGATCAGTCAGTGGAGCCTGGGCAAGTAGCATGAATCGGATCAAAACAGACCCACTGGGGGAAAAAAAATCAGTGTATTTCCTGCTACTGTAAATTGGGTCGTGACAATTATCCTACGAGTAAAGCTCAGAGAGTTCATTCCCATCAGATTACTTGTAGTAAAACCTTATCTAGGCTTGTTTCAGACAATGAATTTTCTAATAATTGAACAGACCATTTATGTGTAAAATATAAAAACAATAAGTTCTTTTGATAGAATTGTTTATGGTACACGTATGTGTTAGCCTTTGTAAACTAACTGAATGTAATTTAATCTTCCCGTAATGACTTAAAACTCTCATGAAGGAGTGGGAGGAGTCCCTGGGTGGTATAAATGGTTACTTCGCTTGGCTGCTAACCAAAAGGTTGGAGATTCAAGTCTACCCAGAGGCACCTTGGAAGAAAGGCCTGGCAGATTGATTCCACAACTGGTTTGGCTTTTTCGATGGAGTGTGAACGATTCGGGAGCGTGGGGAGATCTTTGAGGTGTGGCAATCTGTTGGTACTTTAAAGGTTCTCAGAGCACTGGGGCTTTTGTAGGTGATGTATACATTCCCTTACATTCTGATTGCTCTTTTTCACCATTGTCACCTTCCAGCCCTAATACTCCATTATGATTTCCTATGTTCAATTAGAGAAACCAACAAATATGTTTGTTAGAATTGACTCTAAAATGAGTTTCTAATTTCGAACTGGGGTGCTCTGCTATGAGTAATATACTTAAGCTTTAGTTTTTGATCACACAGAAAGCTTTTTTGCTTTCTTCTTTGTGTTCTTTTTTTGCATTCTTTGGTGGTGTCCTGGAAATACTGAATTTGTCAGATTAAGGCTCTGCTGAATGTGTGTAGTGGCATATTAGAAAAAACAAAAAACGAAACTTTTGAGGTTAGCTATCCTAATCTTCAAAATTGGGGCTGATTTGTCATTGCTTGGTTGATATTTTCCTTCCTCTCTACATATGTAACCCATTTTGGTATCTACCTACCATTGTATTCCTTTTGTTTCTGCATTTTTATATTTAGTTTTCTGGTCCACAAAGCTGTGCTAATTATGAGGTAAGTAAATTTCAGGTCTTCAGTGAAGATCCAAATCACAGTGTACATGAACAGGTTGAGTACAGATACAACAGCTTTAATTTGAAGTTCCTCTCCCTAATACTTGTTTAATATATGTATATTATGCTTACAATGGTAAATAAGCCAATCTTCCTCATCATGGCCTTCCATTTCCATGAGGGCAAAATATTTTTTCTCATATTGTGTAGAATGGGTGGATAGATTGAGTGGGCACCCTGCATTAATGTACTGACAAGTAGAACTTAAACAATTTTAAAAAACGAAAAGATGAATTAATTCCAATAGGCAATGTGTGCTTTATATTTTAAGGGAGTGGAGGTAAGGGGGGAAAAACAGCCCACAGCATTTTATAGTCTGTTGTACTGGAATGATTTTAGCAAGTGATGATTAGATTGGCAATGTATAGAGATAGTCCCAATGATGTAATGCTTGCGGTAACGATTGTGTCTAAACAAATATTTCACTTAGATTAGAAGTTCCCTGAATAATTTTAGGGATAGGCAGTGTGGTTGCATTTCTTAGCTTATCATGGTATAGAAAGGTGGTATGCAGAACAGTTAACTGTGAAGGGGATGTATACCAATGTGCCATGTAACACCTGTGGAGCCAGTTTGTAAAACAAATAAGGTTTTCAGTTCTAATGACAAACAAGAAACATTCACACTATTTGTTTCTTACAGTGCAATATTAGGTATACTGGTGATGTAACAGCAATGAAAAAAGAAGGAAATGGCACAAGGTCAGTAGAAGAATACAGTCAGGAAATCCTTAGTTACCTGTCACTTCGCTGCCTTTGCCATTTGCTGAAAAGTGCCAGACCTAAAGGGGGTAAACAGTGTAGGTTTTTACTTTAAATCTATAAACAGCAGATGCTTGAAACAGAAATCTCAGTAATTCTAGGCCACAAAAGACAGAGATTTAAGATGTATGTTGAACTTTTTGATATAAATTAGTTCTCTGACAGCTTCCTCATTACCTTTTCTTTTTATTGATAGTGGCTGTTGGCAGAAACCAGCACTACTCAGAATTGCAGCAATTTGCAAAGAGGTGGTTATACTAATTTAGAAGGCAACTTGACCCTTTGAGAATAGACAGTGCAGTTGTATTAGTTAGGTCAAGCTGTTGTAACAGAAAGTTTATTTCTCTATCGTTTAACTGTTCCAAAGGAAGTGGTCCAGGTAGGCAGGGCAGCTCTGCTCCATACAGTCATTCCCTGGGGCACTTGCATTGTCAGCGTGATCTAAGCCACAGGACTACCTCCCTGTCTGGATTTTAGCTGGTGACAAGGGGAAAGAGCATGTGGAGAAGGGGCAGCCTGAGGTGGGGCAGTTCATTTCTGCTCTCCTTCATTGGCGAGAACTTAGTCACATGGCCACATCTGACCAGGAAGTACCATTCAGACTGTTCCCAGGAAGAAGAGGAAATAGATTTTGGTACTACAATAGCAGTCTTTTCCAAATCTTTATTTATTAACAATAGTATAGGTTTTAAATATCTTCAAGAAGAAAATTATATATAATGACATATCCTGGGAATAAGTTAATACACATTAACTTGTTTCACATTACAAAAATATAAAAGAATTAATTGTTGCCACAATATAGGGTTCCTTATCAGCTCCTCAAGGCATTTGGCACAGATTAAATAAATACATATGCAGAGCCTTCCATATTTTGAGAAGGCTGCTATTTTTCTCTTTCCTTTCCATTCTTAATTGTTCTTTAGTATATTAGAAATATCCTGGAAATGTGACCTTGAATGCAAGCCCTAGTTGTCTTCAGAAAGAACAATATCTAAAACTTTTTTCCTTTTTAGGATTTTACAGATCTCACTTCTTTAGAACACTGCTGATTTTACTTCTTTCTCTATTTCTTCTTTTACATTGTCGTGCTTAGTTTTCTTCAGAATAGCTTGATGTGATTTGCTCTGCTTAAAATTAGGTGGGTCTTTACTTTTTTTTCTCATTAAAAAGAGAAGATGAAGGTAAAGGCAGAAAATGAGAAGGGAAGAGAAAATGACTAAATCCCACTCCACCTCCTAAAAAGGAAAAGAAATCATTAATGGTCACTTACTGAGCTAGAGGCTCTGTATAAAGGTCATACTTAGATTTTAAGGATGAGGCTTATGCTCTGAAATTAAAGTTAATGAGAGTCATAAATGGGTCAGAGCAGCCAACTGTAAAGGTAACCCACTAAAGAGATTGTTACTAAAGTTGCTGTTGAGGAGAACGGGTCCTCCCAGTCTAGTCAGGGCAGCTGTGCTACACAGCATCTCCTTGTTGTTGTTAGTTGCCGTCATGTTGGCTCCAACTCAGGGTGACCCATGTACAGCAGAATGGAATGTTGCCCAGTCCTGTGCCGTCTTCATGACTGTTGCTTGAGTGTATTATTGTTGAGGTCACTGTGTATTTTGAGTGCCTTCCAGTCTAGGGGGCTCATCTTCCAGCACTATGTCGGACAATATTCTGTTGTGATCCGTAGGGTATTCATTGGCTAATTTTCAGAAGTAGATTGCCCCAGGCCTTTCTTCCTATTCTTCCTTAGTTTCTAAGCTTCACTGAAACCTGTCCACCATGAGTGACCCTGCTGGTATTTGAAATACCAGTGCCATAGCTTCCAGTATTATAGCAACACACAAGCCACCACGGTGCGATAAACTGACAGGCGGGTAGTGAAAGTATCTCCTTAGCAGGTATAAATTAAAAGTAATTGATGCAAAGAAAGCTGTAACTGACCCAAATATTTTCTAGTACTACTGTAGTAATGTATTGTCGGGAGAGACGGGTGGTAGTCTGTATGAAGCCTTGAGAAAGGAGAGCCAAGAAACAATCAGTTGGTCAGTGTGTCTCTAATTTTATCTAGGTGAGAGGGTACACTAGGCCAGCCAAACTAATATGCTGAATCAATAAAAATAAAGGGAAACATTTTTTGGAAATAGGAATAGATATTTATTTAACAAATATTGATTTCCGGGAGAGTAGTAAGCCCTATGCTAAGTATTATGTAAGCTCACAGACCATATAAAAAAAAAACAAACCAAACCTGTTGCCGTCAAGTCTATTCCAACTCATAGCATCCCTATAGGACAGAGTATAACTGCCCGATAGGGTTTCTAAGGACCGGCTGGCGATTCGAACTGCCGACCTTTTGGTTAGCAGCCAAACGCTTAACTGCTGTGCCACCAGGGCTCACAGGCCATATGATAATAGATAATAATTGGACGATATAATAATCATACCAGTTACTATCGAGTCAGTTACAACTCATGATGACCCCATGTGTGTCAGAGTAGAACTGTGCTCCATAGGTTTTCAATGGCTGATTTTTTGGAAGTAGATTGCCAGGCCTTTCTTCCAAGGCACTCTGTATATACTCAAATGCACTCAGCTGCTAACCAAAAGGTTGGTGGTTTGTGTCCACTCAGAGGCACCTCAGAGGAAAGACCTGTCAATATACTTCTGGAGCACAGTTCTGCTGACACATACAGGTTGTCATGAGTTAGAATTGACTTGATGGCAAATGGTTATAATAATTACATCTTCTTCATTAATTATTTTGCTTATGAGGGTTGTCCTTGGAGTCACATGGGCTTGGGTTCAAATTGTGGCTGGATCACTTACTACAAGAATGGCCACTGGTAAGTCAGTTAACCTCTTTAACCCTGTTTCATCATTTGTATAATGGAAATAGTAATTGTGTCTATCTCAGAGGCTTGTTGTGAGGAGTATGAGAAATAATATGTAATTATATATATCTCAAGAAAAGAGTGGGCATTTAATAAACGTTACCTATTTCTATAATTATTTAGAATCACAGGACTGGTTTATTTATATGCATTGATTCTTGTTCATAGCTTTGCCTTCAAGTTTAATCCTGAATTTCTATTTGATGTTTACTCTATTTTAAGATTATTTTTTAATATTGATTGCTAAGCTGGTTTTGTTTCTTTATTATTAATAGTTTTTGCCTTTATTCATGTAAATATTTTATATTAATATTTTACATCAGCATATTTAAATATTAAAATTTTAATTTTAAAACATGAAAATTATAAGTGCTTTTGAAAATAGTGAATGTTGGCCAGATTTCATTTTATTTGACACCTATTTACACTTTCCTATAGTCAGCATCTGTTGATAGCTTCGGTTTACTTTAGAAATCAAAATTGTGTTTGGAATGGACAATTTTTTTTTGACTGGAAAATTTTAATTGGAATTTTGATCATCCTTAGTAAATGTGTTTAAGAACTATGGGATTCTTTCCTTTGATACAATATTCTGCTTTAGTTGCCTCATCTTTGGTACAATGTGTCATCTACCACATTTGATCTTTTACATGAGAAGTACCATTTAAAATTTTCCAGCTTCATGAATTTCATTTTATCTTCACCAACTTTTGAGAAGGAATAAAAGGTAGGTGGTTCTCTCTGATTTAAAGAAGATGAAATTGAAACAGAAGTCAAGCTTTCACAGTGGTAATACTGAGAGTAATGCCCAGGCCTCTTTATTTTAAACCAGGAATGTGTTAGGTTTCAGCATGTGTGTTTTCCCCATTTGATTGGTAGTGGTTCCCAGGAGCTCTGGCTGTGTTGAGAAAGAGTCACATGCAGGCCTTATGGCAGAGTCCATAATCAGGGTCAGATTATCCAATAAGCAAGGTAAGCACGGTGCTTACCTTGTTTACCAGATGATCTTTAGTGGACACTTTCACTACAGATTAGTAGGTAAGCACAAGTAAGCCCGTGCTTACCTTGTTTGCTGAGTCGTTGTCCCTGTCAGGGATTGTAAATTTAAAAAGAGGTTTCGATTCTGTAGAAAGGTGCTGTGGGTTTGGGAGAGAGACAGATGCCAGCCATATGTAGAAACAGAATCTTTGATGTGGTGAAAAAATGTGAAATTGTTCACTACAGATGAACTAGTAAGCAAGGTAAGCACCATGCTTACCTTGCCTATTGGATAATCTGCCCATCCATAATCCATGGGAACAGAAGCAGAAGTGCCAGTCCATGTGCTGGATATTTGCCGTTTCTGTGTTAGACCATGTTGTCTACATGGCCTTTTCTGTGGATGCTTTGCAAAGTTGACAAGAGCTTTATTTATAATTATTTACTGTGAAAACTCAACCTCATTTAGTTTTGTTACTTTTAAGAAAAATAGGGGGCAGGGCCAAGAGGGCAGAGTAGTCAGATGCTTCCGGTGGACGCTCTTACAACAAAGACCCAAAAAAACAAGTGATTCGATTTTATATGGCAATCTGGGAGCCCTGAACATCAAAGGCAGAGTTGAGGAACTGGCCTGAGTAGCACGGGGAGGGAGAGACAGTTTGGAAGTAGAAAGGAGTTGCCAGACCTGACCCCGCGAGAGCCTGAGCCCTTCAGGCCTGATCAGCTTGGGGGTGAGCTGTCAGGCAGACAAGCAGCAGTGTTCCGGAGACGCGTTTTCTGCACAAGGAGAGACCCAGCACCAGAGAGTCTACACGGCCACCCAGAACCAGTGAGAAGCAGCCCTCCATGAAATGTAAGTACTTGCATACAGCTTACCACGTGGATCAAAAACACCCCCCCTTAGGGAAAAGCCTCTCTCCCATTTACCTCCCCGCTCCCTGCTCTGCACTGGGTCCCAGACCAGCTTCAGCAATTGCCAAGTCCCCTGGGCCGGAAGTAGGATCCGTCACATACCCAGAGCCACTCTCCCTGCCTTGGAGAGTGAACAAATTAACAAGAGGGGAAGAAATAAACTGCCGGCTCCCCTAAGCCAGGAACCTAGGGTAGGCATACCTCCTTTGCCTAGGCACAGGCATAAAGGATCCACAGACTTTGAGTGCCTTTCCCCCTACATAGACTTCTGTGGGCTCATCTCAACAATGTAGGCCCTAATTACCGCAGAGCAACAGGGTATATACCAGAACTCTAAGTTCAACTGTTTTAGCTGTGAAGTGGCAGGTTCTTGACATTTGACACTGATCTGCCCATTAAGCAGGGTCTTCATCTACCCACATCAGGGGCCTGAGGACTGGTGGCTCTACCCATGCCAACTAGCCACCTGCGAGAGATGCCCATTAATAAGAGGTGCCCCTCAGTCCTTACAGCCAAGAGCATTAGGTGCTCAGAGTCCAGCTGCAAAACCCACCCACCTATGCACTCTAGGGAACAGGGACACACCTTCCTCCTGGATACTCGGGGGTGGCCGTCAGCCCCCTGCCTTGCTCAGTGTGTCCCCCTGCATCAAGATGCCTATGCCTACACAAATCACATATGTTTGTCTAGGACTGTAAGTGAGAGCTTACGCCACACAGTTAATGGCTATCTACCTGAGCACCTGAGCTGAATCCATACAGAAGGAGTGGGCAGACTCCTGAGCTCACATACCTAGTAATAGATCTAATCACCTGGTGACACGACATTAGAGCTTCAAAGGTGCCAATAATCAAACTAGCTCATACAATCAGCATATTTGGGCATATCAAAACAAAACAAGAAGCTAGGACACAGTAAGCAAACAAAATAAATAAATATAATAACTTAATGATGGCTCAGAGACAACAGTCAATATCAAATCGCATAAAGAGGCAATCCATGATGGTTTTAGCAAGCTCCCAAAATAAAGAATCTAGAAATGTTCCAGAAGAGGAAAATTTCTTGGAATTACCAGAGGCAGAATACAAAAGATTAACATACACAACTCTTCAAGGCGTTAGGAAGGAAATTAAACAAAACGCGGAACATGTAATAGAGGAAATTAAAAAGATTAGAGAAGAGCATAATGACAAATTTAACAGGCTGCAAGAATCCATAGAAAGACAGCAATCAGAAATCCAGAAGATTAACAATAATATTTCAGAATTACACAACTCAATAGAAAGTCATAGGAGCAGACCTGAGGCAATGGAAGTCAGAATTAGTGAGAGTGAAGATAAAGCACTTGACAGCAACTTATTTGAGGAAAAATCAATAGAAGGATTAAAAAAATGAAGAAACCCTAAGAATTATGTGGAACTCTATCAAAAGGAATAACCTATGAGTGATTGGACTACCAGAACAGGGGAGGATAACACAAAATACAGAGAGAATTGTTGAAGATTTGCTGGCAGAAAACTTCCCTGATACCATGAAAGATGAGAAGATATCTATCCAAGATGCTCATTGAACCCCACGTAAGGTAGATCCCAAAAGAAAGTCACCAAGACATATTGTAATCAAACCTGCCAAAACCAAAGATAAAGAGAGAATTTTAAGAGCAGCTAGGGATAAACAAAAAGTCATCTACAAAGGAGAGTCAATAAGACTAAGCTCGGACTACTCAGCAGAAACCATGCAGGCAAGAAGGCAATGGGGTGACATATATAAAGCCTTGAAGGAAAAAAGCTGCCAGCCAAGAATTATATATCCAGCAAAACTGTCTCTCACATATGATGGTGAAATTAGGCATTTCCAGATAAACAGAAGCTTAGGGAATTTGCAAAAACCAAAATTACAAGAAATACTAAAGGAAAT